TTTTTTTATTTATGTGTACTCTAGAAAGAAAAGTTAATTTTTATAATTATTTATAAAACATTTAAAATTTATTTATTATTATTATTTATTTTTTGTTTGAGTAAATAAGAAAAATAAAAATTAAAGAAAAGATACACTATCACGAATTTTCATTCAAATCACGATTTTCTTCTTCTTCTTTTTTGTTTTTTCTTAATTTTAATTGATAGATTTTAGTTGAATATAAAACTTAAAAAACAAAAAATGTTTTTTTGTTTTTTTTAATTATAGTAATAAGAAATTTGACAAATTATTAAAAAAAAAAATAAATAAATAAATATTGAAATGAGAAAAGGCACAAGAAAGATGTTTGAAAAAAATTCATAATAGTGTAATAAAACATTTTAATAAAAAAAAAAATTGCAATATGAGTGTGTGCGGTGTGAGAGAGGGAGAAAGAGAGAGAGAGAGACACAGAAAGAGTGAGAACGTAAAGCAAAATAGAGAGGGTGTGGAAGGTGGGAAGGAGGGAGGAAGAGAACATCGGTCGTGGAGGGGATAAAAATTAGTTTAATTTCATTCAATTACTTCTTTATATATATGTACAAAACAGTTTACAATTTTTCTTTTTTTTTTTTCAAAAATCTTACAACAAATGTCAATTGTTCTATGATTGTTGTTTTTGTTGCTATTTCTTCTTATCATTTATACATTGAATTTCACTAATTTTTATTTAAATTTATTTTAAAAATTTATATCATTTAGAATTTTGTTTTTTTTTTTCTATACATTTGCTTTATTGCTGCCACTGCCACAGTTTTAGGCTATGCTTCATAAAATATTGCAATAATTCTTTTTTTTTCACTTATTTTAATCTATATTTTAAAAACTGAATTTTGTTTATTTTAATTTATTTATTTTATTATTTTTTTCTCAACGCTGTTTTCTCTGTTAATACTTAACACACTTTTTATTTATTTTTTATAATAATAAACTGACGGCTTCACATTTCCCAGACATTTTGCAAAATGATCTGGCTATTTGTCGCTAATTTTATATTTTTATTTTCTTTATTACATTTATTTTCTTTTTTTCCTTTTATCTTGTTTTTTTTTTTATAACAATAAAATCATAAAAATTTATCTAAGTTAAAGAGTTTTTGTTATTTATAAAAAAAAACAACAAAAAAAAAGAAATATATATATACATATATATATATATGTACATATATCTTACATTGAACGTCTATATATATCTATATATATATATATATATATATAATTATTTAATTATGTATGTTCATAATTCTTTATTAAGCAATTATTGCATATAAAAGAAGATAAAGAGTTTTTCATTGTTGTTAATCATTTGGGGTCCTTAGGATACTTATTTCACAAAAAAAAAGCAATTATAATAAAATGTTTATGCCTTATAACTAAAAAAAATTGTCTAGAATCTTAAAACTAAAATCATTATAAACGATAAATGTAAACCATTTCGTAAAACAAACTAAATATTTTTTATTTAAAAAAAAAAAATATATATATATATATAAACAATAATAGAAAAAATATTGGTAGATAATAAATAAAAGAAATAATAATAATAATAGTAATAAAACTATAAAAAATAAATGTTGCTTGTGTTTAAAAACACAGCAGCCTATCGCTTAGCGACATCAGCCATATTTCTTTTCAAAGTTGCTAAACATGTTCATGTCGTTTGACAAATACATGCACAATACAATGTCTCGTCTCTGACCCACCACTTTATTTTATAATGCTCCTAAATATATTCATTCATCTTATCTACCGTATACATACTCTATTTCAACAAGTTGCTTAACATATTGCATATCTTTATTATTTTGATTAAAAGCACACGGGGAAACAAAACAGTGTACTTTACTGCAAAGATGGAGGAAAAAGATAGACTCTCTTGGATAGTTACCAAACCAGTAGTAGATGTATAACGGAACATATACATAAACATATGTAGTATTGCATCTTGGCATTTTGCTGGCAACATTTTCCCAACGCATTCTCTCTTTCATAAATTTAAACATAAAAGAAGTGGGTGTGTAGTTAAAAAGAACAAAAAAAAACCTTGACCGAATATGAACAAACTTTAATTCGTTTAACACATTTTCCCTTCATCTACACATGCTGGCTTGCATGCTCGACTACGTCAGAAGAAGAGATTTCGAGAAATGAAGACGAATAATATTTCTATTTATAGCAAAGAATCCGTACATGATTGCTCACATACGCCACACATGACATTGCATCATATGTGTACAGAATAGATCAACGATGTAAATTGCATTTTGAAGTAAATCTCCTGGTTGTACTCATCCCGCTTTATCATGGATTTGAAAATTTGCAGAAATTACTGATATACCAGTTTATACGTTCATATGATCTGGTTAGTCAAAAACACAAAAATTCATTACATACAGCGTTACGTTACAGAATACTGGATAAAATGGTTGATATGCAAAAAGAAAAGAGAATTTTGTAAGGAAAAAGTTAAAGTACTAAGCAAATGTTACGTTCCCTTACTAACCACGCGTGTATGCGCAGACACGCTCGTACACACACACACACATATATATATATATATATATATATATATATATAAATTTATTGCAATGTATGCCTGTACGTATGTATGTACATATGTACACATGTATCTATGTAAATTGCAATAAGAAAAATCTTAGTTCTCAAAATGCCGCCATTCTCGTCTAACACATAAACTTATGACAAGTATTCTGGCTGCAGCAACATTCGATTTAAAAACAAAAAAAATCCTATCTTCATTCTGTTCATTTCCGTTCCAGAAATGCCTATCCTCACAAGATATCCGTAACTAAGGCTTCAGCTTAATATTTTCCTAAAAGCGTATATAAATGAAAGTCTCGGATTGAAGCAACACATTTACATAGTGTTGGCAACATAGAAGATGAAGATAAAAACAAACGCTATCAAAGAGAGTAAGAGAGACGAAAGAAACTAAAACGAATACAATTAATGAAATTTTTTAAGAACAACTTGTGTACGGTATGAGAGAAGATAAGTAGTCGAATATTTACTTTTCGTTTTTTTGCATTCGAACCTATACTTCGGTCTTTACTTTTAGCATTTAGGTGTAAGCTTTTCTTTCCAAGTAGATTTAATAGAATATATATGTTGCACAAGACTTGCATTTTTGCTTATCGTCGTATACGTTTTGGAAAGGCTGCCAAGGGGAAAAAAATCGAAAAAAAGAATAAAATTTCTATACTTTATCATATAAAAGTGAACAAGTCCTAATTTAACCTAATTTTTATGCAGGCACTACACAGGATCACCCATAGAGCACATGCGGAAATTTTTTTCTTTATAATTTCCAAGCAGAAAGCAAAAATCCCAGTTTACTTTGGTTCTGAAATCAAAGTTCTTCTCACGATGTGTTCTTTTCTGTGCGACTATCTTCTGACAGATTTGGCCCACATTTGAATATTAACTTAGGTTGCAAAAATTTCCAATAATTTTGGAAAAATTAAAAGTGATATCAGCATTTTTACGGCCAAGGGAATATTTAGCATACATATTATTCGGACGGATGGACAGACATTTTGATACTGAACGCTTCCTTGTGAATGTTGCAAACTTATTGACAAAATACATTTAATTTCTCCCATCCATCGCACGGCTATGTCGTTTATTTTTTCCGAATTTTATTTTCCTAACATTTTCATCTTCATCTTAAACTTGCGATATTGCTAAATTCCTGTACACAAATATATGTTGCTGCAACGCAAATGCATTGTCTTCTAAATTTATGTTTTTTATGTTCCTTAAACACAGCCTGAAACATCCTCCTTCATCAAAAATGCTTTGTTTTATAAATTTATGCATCGGCTGTACTGTTGTGTATGCAAATAACTTCATATGTAAGCAATATTCCTTTTTTTTTTATAAGTACTTAGTGATGTTTTTCAATAATATTTGTTTTTGCCTTTAGAAAATCAAGCCCTAAATAATTGCTTTAGAAAAAAAAAAAAAACGATTTAACATTGTAGCAACACAATGTCTTGTTTTTGGTTAATGTTGTTGCTATTGTTGCTGTTGCTATTAGTATCGTTAGCGTTATTATTGTTGTTGTTACACTTATCGGTGTTGGTAACTTTGGCAGGTTTCAACAGATATTGCGCTGTTTGATTTATTTGTTGTGATGCTGCTGCTGTTTTTGTTGCTGTTGCTGCTGCTGTTGCTGTTGCTGCTGTGTTTGTGTTTGCCGTTATTGGCTGTTGTATTGCACCGAGTTGTTGTGTTGTAATCACTGTCACGTTGGACAAATTAATATTCTGCTTATCAGTTGTTACTGGCGCTGCTATTAGATTTGTTATTGTATTGGTGGTGGTAGCATTTGAATTATAATTATTATTATTATTGTTGTTGTTGGTACTAATAGCATTTCTATTAAAACTATTTGGTGGTTTAACAATGACAGATGTCGCCACAGCACCACAAATTGTTGTTGCTGTTGTTGTTGTTGTAGTTGTTATTGGAGCGGTGGTTGCAGTGCTCGGTGGCTCAGATGTGTTCATTAGTTTTGATTGTTTGCCTGAAAGATTACGAAGATTGGCGTGACGTTTATTGGTGGTTGTATTTTTTGTACAGGCCGGAACCGTTGACGTTGCATTTATCAATAATTCGGTGTGTGGTCTAGTAATCGAGAGCGCCGTCGAGCTGGTGGTTGCTGCTGCTGCTGCTGCTGCTGTTGTTGTTGTTGTTGGTGTTGTTACGGTTACTGAATTTATGTTCGCCGTCGATGACAATAACGTTAAAGTCGCATTTTCAGTGGCTGTCGTCGTCGTCGTTGTCGTTGCCGTCGTTGTCACCTTCGACGATTTAGGCCTTTTTCAGTCACCGAAACGAGTGCAAGCCTTCTTCCACCTACATTGAGTACACCACATGTCACGTCGATCCATACCGTAGACTTTACGGCATTTTTTATTCTCGCCCCGTGTACGGCGATTCGGTGAGTTAGGTGTATGTTTGGCCGCTTGTTGCACAGTGACGACGTGTTGCTGATGTAAATGTGTAGTTGTGGCATGGGCGGCGGCAGCGTTAACGACATTGGTGGCATTAGCAACAATGTTACTGTTGGCAGTGGCTGTTGTTGATGATTGTTGCAACTGATGTTGTTGTTGTTGTTGCTGCTGTTGTTGCTGTTGCTGTTGCAGAGAATTTTCATGTTGACTACTGCCAGCTCTCACTGTCTGATGTGTATAATTCGGTGTAATGGTAACGGTACCTGCATGATGTTGCTGCAAGTGTTGATGTTGCTGTTGCTGCGACTGATGTTGTTGCGTTTGGTGATGTGTAGTTACAGTAATATTTTGTTGTGATAACTGCTGAAGTACGCTATTGGCACTGCTATTATTGTTGGTGTGTAGTGGACTGCTGGTCGTCACTGGGCTACTGTAATTATGATGCTGCTGATGGACGTATGTGGGCGATGGGTAAGGCGCTACTGATTGGGACGGACGCGGTGAGGTCCGAGCATGTTTTATGAGTGTTGTAGCCGGCTGCTGTTGTTGATGATGATAATTCACATTATTAGCAGTAATCGTGGGAGAAGCAGGAGCACTTCCCGCTGGCCATGTATAATTGTGATGAGCTAATGGCGACGTGGGGACGCAGCTAGTATTGTTATTTTGCAATTGCTGCTGTTGGCTGCTATTTATATACAAATTACCGTTGTTGTTGTTGTTGTTGTTGTTATTGTTATTATTATTATTATTATTTTGTTGAAATGATTTACCATTGCTTTGCTGAATGACATGTTGATTGGCGGCTGCGCGTCCTTGCCTGTAATAATTAAAAACAAATAATAAGTAATGATGGCTGAAGCATTTAAGCATTTCATACTTACTTGAAATTCCCAACAATTTGTCTTTGGTATTCGGGATCTTCATGGGGAGGACGGGCCATGTCACGATGGCTAAGTGTGGGTGGTGATGTGGGACTAGGAGTTTTGCAGTCGTCATCGTCATCCTCGATCTCTGTGTAGTAAAACTCTTCTTCATGGCTATCACTGTCTATAAAGTAATCGTCACCTTGATCTGTAGATCGACGCGGTTTCTTGGGGCTAAAATTAAAATTAAAATAAATCTTCTTTTTATTTTCTCGTTTTTTCGCTTTTATCGTTACTTGATTTTAAAATTATATAGCATTTTAAGGTTTTTGGTGTAAGTGTACAAAAGGAGAAAGACACGGTCATGCCCACTTGGTATTATACATTGCTCATATTAGATTTTTTTTTTTCATCCGCCAGAGCAGCTGAGTAGGCAGGAGGGTCGACTATCAACTCAATGGTCGTGGGTTCAAATCTCAAGTGCGGTAGAGTTTTTAATAGCGCCGAAAGCCTTAGACGTTAGTGCTTTAAGACTTTAGTCTTAGAATTTATTCTCTGGCTAAATTTATAATAATAATAACAATAATAATAATAATAAATTTTTTTTTACATTTCTTTTAGATAAACACGGTAGATATACATGATATATATACGGAAACTTGCCCCGTACGTCTCAAAGTTTGCAGAATAAGGCGTTATATGGGGGATGGTCGAAAAAGTGAACCGATCCGAACAATTTTCAATCGCTTTCATCCTTGGACCAAAGTACGTCAGTGTACCGAATTTTATCAAAATATCTCATAAACTGCGACCTGTAGCCTGAGCACAAATATATATGAACAGACATCAAACGAACAGACATGCTTAAATCAACTCAGATCATGATTCTGAATAGATCAATATTATAAAAGGTGAGTATACCCTAAGTCATTGTGGGTGTTACAGACATCCGCAATACTTAATATGCCATGTGCCACAAGTGATGTAGGGTATAGAAATTGTTTCATAGCGTTTAAATTTATAAATGAAAATTTATGTGGAAGTGCTGAAAATATATTAAAAAATTATTAATTATCCTGCTCTCTTTCTTTCAATTTTGTGCGCACATTGGCCTGTGTATAATTATTTACTGACTGCTTTGTTTATCTTTCTCCGTTTATATGCGTGTTTTTAAATTGCTTTGCTAAGAAAATAAATCTCAGTATATATTCGTTTAATTTTGAAGTTGGCATTTGTCCATTCTCTTTCTTGTCTATCAGTTGTTCTTTTTTCCCTCATGCTTACTTTATAACTAGATATTTACATTAAATACTGATTTTAGAATTAATACTTTCTTAGTTTACTTTCCAATAACTAAAACCACGCCAATCATTAACATTATGATGCGGTAACTGTACGTTAAGATACGTGTTACTAGCAAAAAGAAAAACAGCAAATTGGAACTCGGCTAAAGTTATCAAAGCTATGCTGCGCACAAAGTTAAAAAATCATAATACTCTATAACGACCCTGTTTTTCTGTCGTCAAATTTTAAATTGTAAAAAAAAAAATTCACAGAAAATTTTCGTTTGCTGTTGCTGAAAAGAAGAAGAAGAAAAAAGCTTTTCTTATCATATTCTCCATTCACTGAAATAATCATTAAATTAAAAAAATTAATCAAATAATATTGAATTTCTCTTTTTCAATATGAATTATTTGAATATACAACTCTTTGCCGTTTTTATTTACAGCATTGCCACTGCGCAAAAATATCATTCACTCAAAGGTAAAAAAACAACCCTGTTACATATGCGAATACTGATTAGTATTGTACTCGTTGTTAAGTACTCGTTACATACTGTGAAGTCGTTTGCGTGGTGTTTGTGTGTGTCCCATTTTTTGCGAATTGCAAACTCAATTACAAAAAGTTTTTAAGTTAATAAATATATAATAAAAAATTATTTAGTAACCATAATAGAAAAAAAAGAACGCGAATTTATTTAATCAATAAAAAAGCATAAAAAGAAAGAGTGATCAAATTTTGAGCAAATAAGCAACGTGTTCGTTGTAATAACAAAGAAAGAAAAGAAATCTATAGAAAAGCACCACCATTACAACCAACTAAAGCAAGCAAACTGTAATTCGAGGCTATTGTTTGTGGCAATCAACCAAAAATTATTGAATATTCACAAAATTAGTAGAGAAATCAATGAATATCATTAAATAATATAAAATATATTGCTCCTTGGCTCTATTATTAATGAAGTAGAAAAGTGTGTTTTTTTTTTAAGATTTAAGTGTTTGGAATAAATATATAAAGAAAAAAAGGAAAAACAAGAAATCGTCTCATAGCCCCTTTAGGTTAAAAGTCAATGAACGTGTAAACCTCCAATACTTTATTCTTAATCTTTTTTAATAAACGACACTATCGACGAATTTTTATCTAAATGACGATAAGGCTTCAGAATAAGTAAAGCAAACAAAGATTTATAAAAGTGTGATTTAAAAGAAGCAAGCAGCAACTAATCAATCAACTAAATAACAACAAGTCAATTATTAAATTTAAGATTTTAAATCAAGGGCAAGCGAAGGAAAGAGATAGAGAATAGAAATGTCTACAATTCCCTCGAACGCCAGCATACACAACAATGTCATTAGTAATTGCAGTAGTAGTAGCAGTAGCAACAATAATAACACTCAATCGTCCACATTGGCAGTATCGGCGTCAACAGCAGCAGCAGTGTCCGCCACTTCAGCGGCAAATAATGCTGTGAAATTAAGATTTCATAACAGCTGCACATTTAGCGGAGTATTAATTAGTAAAGTTACCGATGAAACAAAACTGGAATTTTGCCCTAAATATAAGGGCACCTGCTCCCTGTTTTGTACTTACGATCCGCAGGGTTACGTTGTTAAAATAGCTCTGGGTAAGCTTGCATACACGCTTCGAATGATACTATATAATTAATACTAAACGACAACAACAACAACAGCAGTAACACAAGCCTCTTTGTGATAGCATTGAAATATTTATACAGAGAATGTATGCATTATATGTGTGCACAATATTCAGCCTTGTGTAATTTATAAGTATACTGGCTAAACTAAGCTGTTTCAGGGCCATCTAAGAATGTTGTCTATAAGCAAGATGAGGATTTCTGTGTAACCATTTCTACTTTTTTTTTGTTTTTCGTTTTAGATGCTTCTCCTACAAATATACTTAAGGATTATTTGCTAACAAGTGATACTGATGTGGTACAAGTGGCTCAGCGAACCTTTGCCATTTGCTTTGGTACCGACAATTTAATCTTAAGGTTTCCCAATGAACAAGGTAATAAATAAACGAATGATGCGATTGTGTATAGAGATAAATCAATTTTGAAAATGTGATCTTTATGTATATATAAAATAGATGAGCAAAACTTTCGCCGAATGTTGGAAAATGTTAAACGTCTTCGTCCAAAATCAGTATTCTCACAACGAACAGAAGAGTCTTCCGCTTCACAGTATTTCCAATTTTATGGCTATTTATCGCAGCAGCAAAACATGATGCAAGACTATGTACGAACTAGTACCTACCAGCGAGCTATACTAGGGAATTCTATAGACTTTCACGTAAGTGGTTGCTTGTTTTTGATTTTCTAACTTTTTCTTATTGACTTTCTCCTTCGATATAGAATAAAATAATTTTAGATGTTGGTGCTGGTTCCGGTATATTGTCATTTTTTGCTGTTCAAGCGGGAGCTGCTAAAGTATACGCTATTGAGGCGTCAAATATGGCACAATATGCTCAACAGTTGGTCGAATCCAATAGTGTCGAGGATAAGATATTCGTAATACCCGGTAAAATTGAGGAAATCGAATTATACGAACAAGTAGATGTTATTATATCGGAGCCTATGGGCTATATGTTATATAATGAACGTATGTTGGAGACTTATTTACATGCCAGGAAATGGTTAAAACCGGGTGGCAAAATGTTTCCTACTCATGGTGATTTACATGTAGCACCGTTTTCGGATGAAGCCTTATACTCGGAACAATATAATAAAGCAAATTTTTGGTATCAATCGGCTTTTCATGGTGTCGACTTGACCACTTTGCATAAGGAAGGCATGAAAGAATACTTTCGTCAGCCCATTGTCGATACGTTTGATATTCGGATATGTATGGCCAAATCAGTGCGTCACGTTTGCGACTTTTTACGGGACAATGAAAATGATTTGCATCACATTGGTACGTAAAGGCAATTCCGGAACAAAAATTTCAAATATTTAATTTGAAAAATATGCATTTTTTTCTTTAGATATTCCTTTAGAATTTCACATTTTACAAACTGGCATTTGTCATGGTTTGGCTTTTTGGTTCGATGTGGAATTTTGCGGTACTAGCCAGCAAGTGTGGTTATCCACTTCACCAACGGCACCCTTAACTCATTGGTATCAGGTGCGATGCTTGCTGCCTATGCCTATTTTCATAAAACAAGGACAAACTTTAACTGGCCGCGTGCTCTTAGAGGCCAATAGACGTCAATCGTATGATGTTACCATAGATTTGCACATAGAAGGTACATTAACTTCTTCAAGCAATACGTTGGACTTGAAGAATCCCTACTTTCGTTATACGGGTGCTCCGGTACAGGCACCACCCGGTACATGCAGTCAAAGTCCATCAGAACAATATTGGACACAGTTGGATAGCCAAGGTCAGCGCAACGGTACGTTTACTTCATAAATATCAAAATGTTAAAGATGAAGGCGGGAGGTAATAATTTCGTGTTTTGCTTTTATTTATTTTTTTTTTTACATTGGAAATACTCAGCTGGCAATTTAGTTAATGGCTTAACTGTCAATGGTATGACTGATGTCTCAATGGATATTTCTCATACGCTTATGCATCCTCAGACTTAAATATATATATATATTTATAAATAAGTGAAAAAGCGAAATATACTTTTTACACATAGACACTTACACGCTCACACAAACACACACACTCATATATTTCGAAACCACCTATATAAACTTAGCTATAGATACATACATAACTTCTTGTACGAGCGTTCATTTATAAAACAATAATTGTGTTATTATAATTATTAGAATTATTTCCTTTTTTTTTTTTTAAGATCGATCACCAAATTTACATATACATATATATATGTATATACATATACATGTATATAAATATATTTTTTTATTGATTTTTTCCAATTTCATGTTGAGTTCAAAGCCTTTCATATTCAAATGAATGTCAGCGCAATTTCAGGTTCATTTATATTTAGTTAAAAGAATTTAAGTTTAAGTTAAAAGAGAAATATAAAACAATTTTCATTAGTTTTAAATATTCTTAAGTTTATGCCTTTACTGACAGAATCAAGTGTTCAAATTTATTTATACGCGTATTGTCTTTGACGTAAAATGTGTAAAATTATTTACTTTTGCCTGAATGCTTCCATTTATTTTTCATTTAATACTGTTATTATATTTGCTTTTCTTTCTATATATTTTTTTCTTTTTCTTTTAAATATTGTTTGTATAATAACTTCACAAATAGTAGCGAGTGATTAAGAAGAAAAATTGTACTTTTTATTTATTTACTTTTTTTTCTTTTTTTTCTATCTAAACCGATGTAGAAATATATATACAAATATATATATATAAGCACATAGACATACTTTCATCGAAGATTAGCTTTACAACTTTTTCTTCGCTAAGAAAAGTTTTAATAAAGTTTAAAAAGAAAATTGTACTCTATGAAAATGGATTTTAGATAGATATTTATGTATGCGCAATTACAAATATCTGTAATGTATATATATATGCGAACATTTGTACATCACAATTTAATAATGAAGGTTTTTATAAGCAATGTCAAGTTTTTGTAGGGAACAGATTTTTCTCTTTCTGATACTTTCTTGCATTATTTAAAAGGATACCTTACCGCTTTAACAAGGTCGGAATTGCTTTAAGCAACTTTTTTAACAGGAGTTTTACTAACCCTAGCGCTGTAGCGCTGCAGCTTCTTTTTAAGCAGTACCGGCATCACTCAGTACTACATTCCTAATATAGAGCCGTAACTTGCGACAGACGCAAAGCTATTCCTCCTCGTGGATAAGGTACAAATTTATATCAATTTCCTTTTCAAAGCGAAAATTTATGTAAGCGGTTTTTCTTTTTTTTTGCATCAATATGAAACCTCAAAGGCTTTAAAGCCATTTTTTTTTTTTTTTTTGCTTTTGTCCTGGAGGGTTACAGTTGCACAAAATTTTCCTTCATAATTCTGTTTATATTTTTTTGATTTTTTTTTTGTTTGTAAGTCACTGCAAGGACATAATTATTAATTGAACGTAATTCCTTTTATAAAAGAAAAAGTAAAACTTCATCTTTCTAAAGCCACAAAGTAATGGTCACAGAACTAATAGCTGATAATAATAAGCATGAATGGCTAGAAATAAAAAAATTGCAAGCACTTTTTGCTTGCAAAATATACTTAAACTCTCTTTGCATTCCTCAATTGACTATGTGTTCACATTGTATTTCTTGCAACAAATTCTATTGCTGCACATGGTTAAAATTATTAATTAGGGAGTTAGTGTTAGTGGTAGTTAATCATAGGTAAAAAAAAGAAAAGTAAATTAAGGTGAAGGTAAATCTCTTCTTCTTACGACATGTATTTTTTTGAAAATTGCACTCATGAGAACTGATTTTGCATAGAAGAAAGTAAGTCTTTTTCCAACTTTGTATTCAAAAAAAAAGCGACAAAAAAAATTATTTCATCGATTCAAAACAAAAAATTATCATTTCGATTTTTAGACATAAAATTATATCATGCGTTATTATTTTCTAAAAATTAAAGGAAATTTACATGCGACTGTAGTACAGGATTTACTTCTTTTTTTTTGTTAGGACAAGTTTCGCACCCCAAAACGCTCAAACACTATGATTAGGACGTAAGTTATTACCTCACGTCTGACGATGATTCCTAAGATGCCATCAAATTCCTCTCTTTAAGATTTTATTTGATTCATATTGGGCTAAAAATAAAATTTTTTAAAAATAATTAAGAAAACCAAGAATCGTATTAAAGGGAATAAATATTTCGCATTTTGTATGTCGCATTTTAAAAAGAAATCAGCTTCCATGCAATGCTTCCTAGTCCCAGTTGGGTTGGACGTTATGGCCTTATGGAAGGTAGAAAGACAATATTAAAAAGATAGGAAAATAAATTTTTCAGCTAAAGTTCTAGAAACCGTTCTTTTTTTTTGCCATATTTTATCCCATTAACTAAGCGATGTTACTTTGCACAAACAAATTTTCATGTGTACATTTTGAAGCATGGGACTTTTTCTTTTGGTTAATTATAAGAAAACTTCATTATAAAGCGGTGCGTGTACATATGTTCGCCGCTATAAATATATATATGCATATAAACATATACATATAAGCTCGGCTGTATTCTGAGCAAAATAACAGAAATGACAGAAATCGTGAGTCACTTAATCGCAAGTATTTTCCTTTATGTGGATTTCATGATTGATTTAAAAAACTTAGAAAAACATTTTTTTCTGATTATTACTCCGGAGTAATAAATTTGATAAAAGTTGACAAATAGTATGACAAGAAAACACATTATTTTCTCTTATATGGTGTGACCGGTTACAAAGCCAGAATATCGATGATATATGGATGAGTATATATTTATGGGTCCACATGTTCGCATATTTATGTGTGAGTATATATAAATATATATATATATATATATAGCTACATAGGTGCGCAAATATATGTATAACTGAACATGTGCATACAATTTTTGCCCAAATAAAAAGAAGATTTTAATTTTCTTTCTTTGCATGCGAGAAAAAACATTTCGATGTTATAGAAATGTTTAAAAAAAATATATTTTTTCTAAATTTATTTAGCTTTCAGCTGTTTTTGTATAAATTTTATATGAATGTATGAAGACTAAAGGACACACAGAGCTAATATCTGTCAATATACTAAGCTGAAGAATTATAAATTTTTTTTTTTCTTTTTATATAAAATTTAACAACTCTCATCCCATATACGCACGTATAGAAGTGAGAATAGATTCATTTTCTTCTTTATATATTTTTTTTGTACGATTTTCGCATAAAAGCGCAAAATATTTGGAAATTTTTAAAAAATTTAGAATTTTATAAATAGAGATAATAATAACAAGAACGCAATCATTCATATACAGACACTTAATTAAGAGAAGAAATATTTAATAATAAAAAAAGATTATTTTTTTTAGCTGATATTAAATTAATTTGCAAACTAATGCAGTTGAAGATGAAGCTTTATGTTGTACAATAATCCCTAGACAGCGAGAGAAAAGGTGTGAAATTAAAAAAAAAAAAAACCTTAGAAATTTTTTTTTCATTTTTTTTTTTTTTTTTTAATAAGCTTTGAGTGTTAGTATCATCCCAATTATGTTAAATTAATTATATTCACATATATATATATATATATATATATATATATAATTTCTATAATACTTTAATTTGTTAAAAACGTAATAATAAAATAATTCATAATATACCCTGATATGATAAAAAAAAAAAGATAAAAAAAATACATATATCTACATATATGTATCTTATAAAATGTATTTGTATTAGTGTAGTGTTTTTGCGCCAATAAAAACGAAAAGAAACTCAAAAACAACACTTAATCCAAAAAGAAGAAAAAAAAAAAATACCGTTGTATTCCTTAATGTTATTCAAAAAGTCTTTTCCAATTTTTTCCTTTCTTTTTCGGTTTTCTTTTTTTTTTTGAATAAACCTTGGCCTCAAATCCTCATACATTGTATGCTTATGTGTCTCTGCAAAAGATTTCATTTCTCTCAGTTTTAAGTAAATTTTCAATGTCTTGCACTATTATCATTATTATCATTGCCGTTGTCGTTGTTGTTATCTTTCTGTGCCGGTAGTTGTGCAGTCGCATAATGTACCTGCTCATTGCCATTGTGTCCTACTTTATGCTTTTTGCCTCGTTTTTGGGCGAAGATAAAATACAAGTCAAACTAACAGGAATTGGAACAATTTGTGCGGGCATTTATTTATTTGTAGTATCAGTCGAATTTGCTTAAGAGTGGAGTGCCGAGGTTAAAGTTGCGCGTGCGCTTTTCATTCAATCATACTTTTTTTTTCCCCCCTTTTGCTTTGTTTTGCTTTTTTTTTTTTCTTTTCTTTTTTTTCTTTTGCTTTCTACCCATTCGCTTGCCAGTCTGTGTGTGTGTGTGTGTGTGTGTGTGTGGTTTTTTAGTTGGTCAAGGTAATGTCAGAGGTATAGGAGCTTAATTGAAGTACACACTTATTTTTACGTGCGCACATACCTACGCAATACGAATATTTGCACTTGCATGTTAATGTGTGTGTATGTGCGCGTGTGTGCATGACTGTGTATATATTATGCTGTTTTTGCGCTATTCATTTAAATGTTAGATTTGCTCAAGGTTGCCTAATAGTTAAGAGGGTTAGGGTTGTCCCATTTAGTTAGTTAGTTATAAGATAAAGCTTTAAAGGCTTTAAAGATTTGAAAGAAAGAATTTATTTTCAATTTAAAGTGAATTCTTGTACCCTACATAACATTAAGCTTGTCCGTATGTATACAATATCTAAAGAAGATTTGAAATAAGTTCGATTTTTACTATACATCATATATCATTTACTGAATTGATTTAAGCTTGTCTGTCCGTGTGTCCGCCTTGTTCTCCTTTATTTATCCTACAATCCACAATCTTAAGATATTTCGATGAATTTTGGTAAGCGAACGGGTGTTGCGCGCTTGTCTATCCGTCTGTCCGTTGTGTATTCCCGCAATTTTAGAGTTATTTTGATGAAATTTTGTACAGCGACCTGCTTTGGTCCAAAGAAGAACACAATTGACAATGTTTCGGATCGGACCATTTTTTCAACCATTTCCCGTACAAAGCCGCATTTTCGAAAGTCGTTAAGTAAAGATATTTATATTATGAAGATATTGCAAGATATTTAATGATGGGTCGGGCGACGTTATAATGATTTTATACACGTTTTTTTTTTTAAATAACTCACAATAATATTCCGTGATATTGTGATTGCAAGATGCACTACAAACATATGCTTTTGATATATCTCTTATAGTTCTAGGAATATATATAAAGGAAGTAAGTGGAGTGGAATGTTGGGTTCTAAAGCAATGACTTCTTTATTTGACATTACCATAAGAAAGCTATGAGCAATTGTATGAATTATTGAACTAAAGTATATGCAACATATTCCTTTAAATAGCCGTAGCTCCGCTATTTGCAATTTGTGGATAATGTTATTCTTCCTGTTTTTATCGAAGGATATTGTTTCTAAATCTTGGAGACGAGTAAACAGTGGATGCAGGATAATCATGATGCGGATGTAGATGAATCGCTGACATCGAAGATGAAGTTTTTTCTAAATTAAGTGAAACCATATAATTGATGTCGTCAGTTTTCAATATAAGGTAATTAGGCCCAATATAGCGAAACGCGTTCAGAAAACGTTTGCATTACTAGAAATAAGTCTGCATATCCTTGACATTTCCATTTGAGGGGATAAGCCAAGCGTGGTGTATTAAAGCGTATTCCAATCAAATGAGACTATGCCTAAGGAAGGTCCGATAATTGATGGAATTGCGGAAAAAAAAATGGGCGAAATGTACCAAAAGCCATAACCCTAACTTGGAATGTTTTGCCATCAAAGTTGTTATTGTTGGACCCAAAATTTCAATAGATAACTTTTTGTTTGTTGAAATGGAGCTTCTATTCGTATGACGACACCCGAATAAGGAATTCTTTGGGGATAGCTTCAAAAGACAAGCGATTTTTCGAAATGAACTTCGGTGAGGAATAGCCGTGCAAGCAGTGATGGACAATGTTTTGTTTATCTCATTTTCAAATAAACGCATTTTTGACCCCCAAAAAAAATGGACCGAACTAAATTGTATTTCCAATACCATAAAAAAATATTCAATAAATTCATAAGATGACATACAGATGTAGGCGGATTATTTATGAATGCGAAAATTTTTTTAGGAGGTACCCACCACCTACCAAAGCAAATAGCTGCAGTTTGTAAACTAGTGATCGGAATATCATGACAGGAAATCAAAGGACTAATGAACAGAAAAATTCGAATCAAATTTAAAGAATTTGAAAATTTAACTTCAGAACGCGCTTTTATAGTAGGATGGGTAACGTTTTTGGAAATTGTTCGAAAAACAAAAAGTTCACCCTAATGCGACTTTGAAAAGGAATTCAAAACTTCATAAAACCAAAGACAATTGTTTCTTGAAGCTTTGCCTCGCACTTTGACAATTTGCGATCAGAAAAATTGCTTGGAGATAAATAAAATCTTACTCGTAAGAGTAAGCAAGTAAGTAAGTTGTAACTTTTTTTTACTTTTTTGTACCCATCATCCAAAGTTAGTGGTATGCAGTTTTCGTTAAAGTTAAAAAAAATTTGAGATTCGATCTAATCATGTCCATCGGTTCGTCTGTGAGGATTTTATAGTGAACGGACTTTTATTTGCAAAAATTAAGATAACTGCCTCAAATTTGGCAAAGATATCGTAACCGATTTTAATCGGTGACTTGAGAAACAAAAAAAATGTGTTTTTTCCTTCTTAGCTATATTATCAGGTATCGGGGATGGCCAACATAATATGAACACTTTGCAATATGGTAACATTGCCAACACCGTTTCCGTGTAAATAATTTGACGCGTATGTACTGTTATAATTTGTTGTACAGTACTGTATAGTTACGCGCCAAATCCTGAAGGCTAAACTTCAGCGTAATATACGCTTTTGCTCTTTGATGGGTAAAACAAGCGAATGCTAAAATGTGTGATCCCTCAGACTACGAACCAAATTTCTGGTGTTCGATTTGCGTAGTTTAACTGTTTAACGATGATAGCCTACGCATAACATGAGGAATCGGAATAGAGAAAAAGCGGACGAAATTTGAAGTTAGCTGACAAAGGTCGACTAACGTTAAAAAGCGACAAAAATGAGAGCCGAACTCAACAGGCCCCTGTTTGAATAAAAACACTACAGCAGGATCTACACAAAGCTAATATTCATGCGAAAGGTGCTATTGCGAAAGAATTGATCCCACGATCATAAAGCTTGGACGCTGGATGATTGGACGAAGCATCGTTTACAAAGTTTTCTGCAAGCAGCCGGGTTGACCTGTGTAAAACCCCAAAACAAGCTTACGATCCGTACTACCTGCTTACTACAGTTAACCAAGGAATAAGTTCCATTATGATTTGGTTGGCTACATTGCCACCAGTATTCACTGGCCGGATTATTGCGATTGAATCTCCCGATATCGGCAATGCTGAAGTTTTTACTATAGCTAGCATATTGCTGCGAAAAGTTTGGCATACTTCAAGGCGGTAATGCACATCCAAAAAGTTTCTGTATAGATCTGAGGAGCATTAGGTTACCAATCATATATTTAGCTGATCTGTTAAAACTGACTTCAACGATCTGAATCAGTGCTTATTAGAAGAAAACCACTCTGAGAAATCCGTTGCCAAAGGTGGAGATGTTCGCAGGCCAAATTGCCGATCACTTCCTGGATTGCCTCTGCTAGGGATGGACGTATGAGAGTTTGATCGTTTTCAACGATTAAAATGTTTTCCACAATATCGCATAAACCATTCTTTAATTGTTTCCTTAACCACTTTTGTAGCTTTCATAGCTGCATTTTTCTCCAGCTCACTTAAGTTTAAATGAGAACAGTGCCCTATATAATAAGCATCTCTTTACACTTTGATATATAATGAACGTCGGGACAACAACAAACAACGCAAACTTATACCGTACAAGTACCAAGCATCTAAGTTGTCGATATCCGAAGTTTTGTGGAAAATTCAACGCTTCATGTACACGGGATAGAATTTATCGGTACATCAGTAATAATATGTATATGTATATGTATATATTAGGTGTTTAGAAAAATTTTAATCAGCGGGTTCCGGAAACACCTGTTCGATGATTTTGACCTTTCTCCACATAAAGTAACAGTTTTCCATTTAATATAACTGATTTACTCAGCGTACGCCGACGCTAATCATGAAGCGCTCAAAATTCTTCTTCTTCTAAATTCATTACTTCCGTTGTTCATTTGGAGAAATCTGCTATTGAAACTTAGCAAACCCTTTCAGAGGGTTATGGTGATGCTGCTTCATCCCAAATTTTCAGTTTCAACGGTTTAAAAGTGGCGACATAGATTGACTGAAAGTGCCCTTATTTGACCACTTGTTGCAAGAGTTGTCCAGGGTGCATTATTGCAGCTCGAATGGGAAGCTCTGCCATACCCCATACGATATAGCGTCTCCTGATTACCACTTGTTCAGATCGGTGCAACAAGGCTTGGCTGGCGTGCAGGTTCGCAAAGTAGAAGAAGTACGAAAATGGGTTGGTGGGTGGATCGTCATCAAACTGATATAAGTTCTTTCGACATGATATCGCTATGTTCGCAAAAATATTCTAAACTGTTTAAGAAAATGGTTAAAACTGTTTTGATTAACCTATATGTTGTACCAATTTTCCACAATAAATGCCTGTTTCAAATGAAAAAATGATCAAAATTTTTGCAAATACCTACAAAATTACTGACCTGTTTACTTGTTAAACACACGTCAAAAAATGTTATTAAACTAAAGACTTAATTTCTATTGCTCTTCCTGTTTTGCTTTAATGTTTAAATTTTCTACCTTTCTGTTTAACTAAAAAGTAAAAGCATTTAACAAGTATACATACATACGGGGACTTTTTTATAAACCGCACACACATAACTAATATACAAGAAAGTTTATGATGTGAGGTAAATAAGTTCATTTTTATTTCACTTCACATACACTTACTCTAACATATTGCAGGTGTGTATGTGTGCGTGTGTGTGTGTGTGTGTGTGTTTGTATTTTGTTGTAAAGCTTTGAAGTAAGCTGAGTCGAGCTATGGCATGTATGAGTGTTTTATGAGTTGATTATAATAACGCAACACTCATACGCCTAGGTATACTGTTATATAGTTTAAATAAACTTTTGCTTGTTATTATGTTACTGTGTGAATCCACTTACTTCCACGCAACGTTATGCTTTATTAATATTATGTGTGTATGTAAAACGAGTTCAAGGTCTGCTTATGTCTCTTTTTCGTAATATCAAAAAAAAAAAAAAAAAAATGTTGCTTCTATATACCATATTATTCTCTATTCTTTCGTGTTATTCGATTTAAAAAAATTGTTGATAATGCTTTTCACTTACCTAAGATGAACCATGCGTATGTGCCGCTCAATTTTGGCCTTTGTGTTTTCACTTAGTTTACAACCAGGATAGGTGCAAACAAATCTAGTCTTATTGGCCTAAAAATGAAAGAAAAATACAATCAACAATTTTTTTGCATAATATTTCTACATATATATATATGTATATATATATATACATTTTTTTTTTCAACTTACTTTACGCTTATATTTATGTGTATAATTATAGTCTTTCATTATTAAGCACAAAATTTTTCTGTTTTTTTTTTTTTTGTATTTTAGATTATTACTATTAATTATATAAAATGTAAAACATTATTTTTTTTTTGTATTTTTTTTGCTTTTATTCTTTGTCACAAATTTTTTTTTTTTAACGAATTTTATCGTTTTATTACAAAAAAGAAAGAAAATAGTATAACAAGGGCAGTATTTTTTTTTTTTAATTTTTTTTTGTTTTTAAAATATGTGTATAGATTGTCGTATAAATTTGATAAACGGGCGAAAACGGAAAATTGCGTGTGTAACCCACCAAACCGGTGCGTTACCGGTGCCAGTCAACAATGTAGTGGTAAGCGGCGATAATAATAAAATGTTATGCTGCTGCTGCTACTGCTATATAATGCTGTTATATTTTAAGCGCCATCATAGAAAATTTACTTAACGAATAGCAACAACGATTTTGCCGACTATGAACACGATGACAGCAATATTTAATGTTAATTTTCGTACATGTATGTATATATAAATATATATATGATATATGTATATATATATACTTGTGTAAGTATATATGGGAATAGCTGCAAGCATACACAGTCAAGGCTTCTAGGATGGCTTTGTATAAGCAAAATAGTAATAGAGAATAATTCAATACAGAGAGAGAAAGAGAGAGAGAAACAAAGCTACACAATAATCGAGAGTCGCTCAGATAGGCATAGACATAGAGAGAGAGAGAGAGAGAGAGAGAGAGAGAGAGAGGAAGAGAGAGAAAACGAACGATTGCAATACGAATCATGTAAATGCAATCAACGCTTGTTTTGCTTATGTTTGCGAAGAGAAAGAGCATAAAATAACGCAAAGCTAATGAAAATCAGAACGAGGTCATCTTACAGTTAAGCATGTTCTCAATGTACATGTTTTTTTTTTTTTCTTTTTTTATACATATACGTATGTATGCTCAACATAAAATTACTTTAGCAGATTGCTATGTACATTGTACATCGTACGTGTATTGGGCAAGTCTATAGTGTACGTGTGAAATGACAGTAAATGGAAGTAACTGCATATATGCAGTATTATGTGCTTTTGCTATTACTACCTAATGGAAAAAATGTTGAAGGCGATTGTAGTTAATGGTGGTTTTATATATATATATATGCTATTAGCTTTATGTGGGTCATTGTTGTATGACGTTCGCTGTAGATGTATGTATAGAAATACATATATACATACGCTTATATGTAATAAATATATGTACAATACATACAAACGTACTTACTTACATACGCATATGCATACACACATAAATACATATATATATATATATATATATATATATATATATATATACGCATATATACATACATATATACATGAATACATACATACATATATGTATATATAAATGTAAATAGAGGAGTATGTGTGCATGTGTACGCGTATGAATGTGTACATATATATATTTTTATGTATATGTCGGCGTTTATATGCTAAAAGCCAATTAAACAAAACTTTAAATATATCATAAAATAAATAAAATTTTAATATTTCTTTGCCATCCTGGACTTAAGCTTTTTAAATTATCCTTGACAGACTTTAATAAATAATTATTTCGAAAAACAACAAAACGCCGTTGTGCGAGGGTGTGTATCAGATACATACAAGTACATACACAGACACACCCACGCACGTATACACGCATGGATATACATCAGCCACTTAGATATGCTGCAGTAGTGTATTTATGCTGCCTTTGAATGTTTTGAAGGTCGCATGCTGTGCACACTGTTATCCTTGTACTTTGTTGAAGTAGTGTTTGTTGTTCAATGTTGTTTTGTGTGACTATGAAAGCGTAAACTGAAATAAGAAGGTTGCTCTACTAACCTGATTTGCAATTTATGTATGTATGATGTGTACGTCGGCTCGGTTTTGTTTAAGGAAATATCTGAGAGAATTTTTTGAAACAAGAATTTTTACCTATTTTTGATTTTGTTTTATTTGCTGACTATACAATGAAAGAAATGTCATTGCGAATGTTTTGTTGGCCTACTTTTAATCACGTTGATGTTTTAATGTAGATTTCATTTTGATTTGGTTTTGGTTTTCTTTTTTTTTTTCTTTTTGCATTTCATTATTTGCTCTGAATCTGTGTCAATATTTATGCACACAAGTGCATTTTTTTTTTTGTTTGCATGCTTTCAAGGTTTGCAAAAAATCTTTTTTTCTTTTTCAAGGAAAATAAAACTTTTTCGGGTGATTGTATTGTGCGTGCGTGTGTGTGTGTGTGTGTGATGCTTATTTTAAACTTTACGGATGATTCTATATTAAACAAACAAAAGTAAGAGTTTATAAAAAAGAAATTAAAAAAAAAAAATTTCTCTTACACCCTACAATCTGGTATACGCATATATTAAGTTTGTGGGGATGTATGCAACACCTAGATGGACTTGGGATAGATGCATTTTCTATTATATTTATTTAAGCTTGTCTGTCCGTACGTCCGACTTGTTTTTTTATGTTTAACTTACAATTTTACAGATATTTTGCTGAAATTTTTCACACTAACATGCCTTGGCCTAGAGACGAGCGCTTGTCTGAAGCTTGTATTTCTGTGTTCAATTAATTTGATTTGAAGAAATTATTGTGTGTACAAATAAGTTTTGAGTGTTTTTTTTCATAACTTTGAAAGTATTTTCATTAAAATATTTTTCATCGTTAGCTACAACTTTTCCCCATCTCTCAGGCAGCTTTCGATTTTATTTAGAAGAGCGTCGCATTTTTTAGGGCTAAAGGTCTAAAAGAACCCATATTGTCCATATATTGGCCATCGTCATAAGATTAGAAGCATCGTTCGCGCGAATAGTAGGTCATTTATTGGAATTAGTGTTAATCGGCAGGAGGATTATCTGCTGATAATCGGAGAGAGGTTATGGCATTCCAGGCTAGAATTGCAAATCCTTCCTGTGCAAATTTTCCTACAAAGAGCCGAACTCCTTCATATTAAAAACTTATAATATTAAGAGTTTCGGTATATTACGCCCATTTCGCAGTTGCGAAATTTATTGGACATAAGATTCCTTAGGGATGGTTTTATTTGGTGGAAACGAACTGTAAGACACCGCGCCCATCTGAGACCTAAAATTGGACCATTAAGGATATTCAATCTTATCGTCGATGCCATTGGTTCGTATACCCTTTAACATGACTATTTAGGCTTTGGATAATGCAGCGTATTCACTGTTCATCACTTGTAAGGATTTAGCCGCGCTATCCTGTTAATTAATCAGGAGAAGTAAAGTTTCTCGCAAATGACGAGTATTCCAAGCTCCAAAAACTATCTTGGGTGCAGTCAACGGTAGCTGTCGTCCCGTGGACCACAAAATGCATATACTCATCCTCCTCTGCCGGTGAGAGGTATAAAAAGGAAGCGCAGTAAGCTTCTCTCACCACATCCGTCTCGTGAGTTGAGCGAGCCCGGCCCGTTACGTTTAAGATGTCGAACAATTCAATATGCTCGCACATAGGAATGCTACAAAGGCATTGTACCTGCTCTCACGACCGGTTCTGCTGTCCTTTTTTTTTCATTAGGCCATAAAATGAGCGAATAAAAAGGCAAAGGAAATTGAAGCGCAATCTTGCATTTTTTATAATTGTTGGACTTTGTTCCGGACCTCGCCAGGATAAGAAAATCAAAACTGGCCTGTTGCTAAAAAAAGTTTCGCATCCCTGATTAACTTTGATAATTTACATCGTTGCATATATAGTTTACAGACAGTACTTTCGAATGGAGAAGTCACAATTTCGTTCCGGATTAATTTACATAATCTCTCTTATCGAATTGGAAAAGAAAAACAATTTTTTTTTTTTTTCAAAAAAATTTTTAGAAATCTCTCTTTGAAAAAAATTTTTAGTTCCAAATAATTATTGCCTAACATTCCTCTATAGTTTTCTTCGCAATTAAATTCCAATTGTGTGTATGAGCAATTATTTAAAGAAAAGCAATTAAATAACACTTATACGCCTCGTATACGAATAATTGTCTTTAATAAGAAATAAGTAAATATCACGCGATGAAAATCAGTAAAAATTGTTCACAATACGTAAAACAACTCATAAAATGGTAAAATAAAAGAGAAAATATGATTCGTAAGAAAATGAGTCACACTGTATGTATATTTTTTTTTTTATTTATTATTACAATACATGAACATGATACATACATGGTTAGAGCATGCATGGATATATACATAGGCATTTGTATAGTGCATATATGTAAAGTGGAAACCTTATAATTACCAGATGAAATTTCTTTTTCAACAGAGTTAAGGTGTGTCAAAGTAAATAAAAAGGAAATTTTATACTAGCTATTAACTTTGTTCGGCATGCATACATACAAACAAATATACAAAAGTAAATCATCACTACTTATATGTTAAACACCTACTGTTAGCATTGCTTTGGTATTTTGACAGGCTTCTCTATGTAATTATTCTGCAAATTTATGAATTTTGCAAAAACTTTTAAATATCCTTTGTCAACTTTAAATAAAAAGAAAAGGAAATCATTTTTTTTTTTTATATATAAATGTCGATTAAATTATATATTATTTATGTGAATTTGTCTTGTATTCAAAAACTTCATCATCATCATTTTCGTCACCGTGAGAAAATACAGACGTGCATAGAATTCTTGTTAACTGTTACTCGAACGAGCAGATACATATCTATATACATTGAATAAATGTATATACTTATATAAATATATATACGAAAATATGCATATATCCAATCGCTATGTATTGAATAACTGAGAATAAAGCGAATTAGGTCAACTATATAAAGTGAATATACAGTCAATTTTTATATTTACCTTCTTTTCAT